ATTTTCCAACTAATCCAAATAATGAACATATTATAAAGCCACAGAAACTGCTTCGGGCCAAAGATGGCAATTACAGCTAAGAGCTAGAGCTAATTGGAAGGCTTCCTAGTTTTTAACATTTTTCTGTGGCTTTGAAGATCTTTTTGTGTCACTCTGGAATGAAAACCAAGTGCACAAAGACTTTTGGCAAAAATGGGACTTTGGTGAAATGTTCATGTTTGGCTCCAGAAACTGTTTATCTTCTACTCTCACCTTCTAGGAAGCCTATTGTAGAGCTTAGAAATAATCCTGTCAGAACTTCATCAAAGTCAGTATTTGTTTTCAGAATTGTTCTAGTTTTGGCATAACGTTAACTGGAGAAGAAAGTATTTAGTTCAGAATTTTCTGACTAGTTCCATAAATGTCATTACATTAATTAGGTACATAAGTAACAGTAGCTGAATTAGCTATGTTTACACACATCGAGTCATATGAAGTCAAACAGGGCTCAAGGGTTGGCTGAGTAAGTGTCATAAATTTTAATAACCCTTGATCTTGATGCTCATTAGTACACATCTGTGAACAAAACTAATTGAAACATCAGGAAATGGTCAAAACACAAATGAAAAACATTAGCAAAAAAAAAAAAAAAAAAAAAAAGAAAACATTTTTATTAATTTAGAATAATATGTTAGGGCAAATTAAATTGCTATTCAAGTCCTGACACAGTTTTCTTATTTGAAACTATAACATGATTATTTATCAAATGAATTAATTCTATTTTGATGATAATATTAACTTTTAAGTAACACATAAGGACCTAAAAATAGTTTAATACAAGGCTTCAGGGTCATCATCCTCCAATATTACTGTAATCAGGAATAGTTCCTATTAATATAATTATGTTGTATTCATATGATAAAGGATATATAATTGAAATCAAATTTAGAGTTTTTTGAGGTTTTTATACTTCATCTAATTAGCCTACAATCTCATATGAAAGTAGTCAGGTCTTCTGAATCTTACTCATGCTGAGTGAAGACATATCTGGATATCGTGGATATTTCTGAGCCAGTTACTACTGTACTCATACACAATTTCTTCTGTAGCTTCTTTCTAGTTTTGTGTGCATGCATGTGCGTTTATTTCATATGTCTAAGATCCTCTATCTATCTGAAGACTTGCAGGCTTTGGTTGCTATTTCTCTACTGAATGACTGGGATGGCATATGATGGTTCTTTGCAAAAGGAATAGAAATAATTTAGCCTGAAGAAATTTGTAGGAGATGGCAGGATCATTTAACTCCAAACTCAGTCTTTTTGTTTGCTTTCTGTTCTTTTGAAACCAGTTTCTTGTGACATACTTTAAAATACTTCAATACAGTTTTTCTCTAAAGCATGCACTATCGGAGAATCACCTCTGATGTAGAGTTTTCCTTTCAAACTTGCAGTGCACATTTCTTGTTTCTTAGAATCTCTTAAAATGTTGGTGTCTAGTACGACCCAGTGCACTGAAATATCTTGTTGTTTTCTAATGTTCTAATCTCTGGTTCTGTCAAGGGTCATGCTCATATTAGTGAGGGCTAAAGAGAGCAACATTATGTGTCTAGCAGAGATAGTTCTTAACAGACTTGTCAAGTCTTAAGCAGTATGCATGAAAGTGAGGCACCTTGTTACATCTGATACCTCTAACTCAAGTGCTGCTAGGTAGCCATTGCCTTCCTCCCTTCTTCAGGACCATGCAGGCCAGACATGGCTCCTCACATCACTTGTGGAGAGCTGGCTCCTTGGCTGCAGTCATCTGCCAAACTCTTGTGACACAGAACCTCATGTCAGATTAAAAGTTTCATGGAGATATTCAGACATCAGTCTCACACCACTTCTCCTGCCCCCAGGGCAAAACAACTGTAGCCCCCAAGAGCCCTACAGAGTTTGACTTTGTAGAGAAATAAATACTGATTAGCTAGCACAACTGAAAAAACTTTCCAAAGTGTACAATAACATAATGTATAATTCTGTCCCCCCACCGTGTTCTGAACTAACCATGTTCTGTTGAGAGTGAAGCCTGAATGGAATTAGCACTCACAACACTAGGCAGAGCATAGTTTCAGATTAATTTATATGATATGATGATGAAAATAAAGAAGAGACTGACCTAAGTTTTCAGAAATCTTGTGCTGAAATAAGGGAATACCTTTCCATTTTAATAATTGTTGATATGGTCAGTGTTAGCTTTATACATTAAGGGTAGGAAAGTCTCCGTTGTGTGATTAATCATTAAGCATGTTTGCTGAGGGACAGTTACGTGGGGTTCCCGAAATCAGTGGAGCAGTGGCAGCTGTAGGACTTAGTTTTGCCTGGTTTAAGTTTTTTTTAAATTTGAATATGTTGGATTCTCAAATAAGAATTATGATTTTTACTTTTCTTATTCACTCCATTTTATAGGGGCTTAAGTGAAACTAGGTGAATCAGGCCGTGTGTAATATATATCATCTTACATGATTTCCAGTGAAGGATATTTTCAAGTAGGAGCTTGAGCTAAAAAAAAAAGGATTAACTTAATTTCTCTTGAGATATGGTAGAATTCCAGTTGCCCACCTGAATAAACATACAATTTTATCATTTTTACAGTGTTTCTGTGCTGCAAGAGCACAAAAGTACAGATGCATCTCATGAGTATATAATAAGGAGAAAATAAGCTACCATACCCTTTCAAAAGAACTAATCAAGTACTAAAAGGAAAATTAATGTAAATAAAATATTGATTAAGAACTAAAAGGATTTTAATTATATTACTTTCAGAAATAATTTAATTTAACCTAAACAGACAACTAAGAGCAGATATTTTGCCTTAGTGTTTTTCAGATTGCTAATTAAAATTTCTAGGAGGAAATTCAAGTTCAGTTACTGGATTTTAAAGATAAATAATGCTTGCTTCTTTTCATAATAGTTTTATGAAGGTTTACATAGTGCCAAAATACAGTACTGCATGCATGTTTTTTTTAAAAACAATCAGATAACCTGGATGCCCTGTGCAAACACCTGGGTTTCGAGCACTCTTAAATTAAGAAAACTTGAAAATTAAGCGTGTTAAGGTTAAATATCTGTCATATGTTCGTTATGTAGATTTATATCTAGATTGTTTATGGAATTCTTCGGAGATAATTGCTTTTTGGTAAGATAAAGGCAATTATAGTGATAGAGCACTCTTTGTGCTTCCATTGCTACTGAGTAGCAATTTTACTATTTATCTGAAAAGAGATGAATCTGATTCTTTATTCTCTGTTGTAATGACTTGATCCAAAATCCAGTGAAGTAAATGGAAATTGCTCATCACTCTATAATTTCGTATAGCATTTGGCTTCAATGCCACTTCCTACTTTACATTGTATTATTTGTAGGACTGCTGATACATATACACCACAAAATGGGATGGGAATGCAACAGTAAAGAGGCACAACATTTGGAAGATTTCTACAAAGAATCTTTAACAAATACAAATTATTTGCAGAGTATTTAGCCAAACTGGAATTTAATTAAACTCCTTTCATCTTCTTTAGTTGCAGAGTTCTAAATTAAAGAGAAAAGGATGCGACTGAGCTACCTATCCAAACACTTCAAGCAAAAAAGGTAGAATGAACGGTCCTTAACATTAGATTAGGGAGCAGTATCAGAGAATTCCCTTTATGCCAAGACAGAGGGCTAGAACATGCCATAGGGATAGGACAAGATTCAGAACCACTCTGAAGAAAACTGTAACACAGAAGAATCATGTATCCCGTTACCCAGTGCTCCCTCTCTTGATCCACTATGTGTGCACATCATAAAGCATGCGACATACAATTTCTGTGCAATTTGAAACATTTCATGCAAATTATGCAATGCGTGTCTGAGCTACTAGTCTCACTTTGCCTATTCTGTCCTTGCAAAATTTTGTTCAGTTTTATCCAACTTTTCAACCAACTTGACAAGAGGATTGGGGGGGGTCTCAAAATATGAAAATCAGAAGAGACAGAAAATCTCATACAGCCCCTAATAATCTGCAGCACACTTTCATGAGTTACTAAATAATAGAGAATCTATAAAACACAGCAATGTTGCAACACCAGCCTATGAAAGCTTTGGTTTGGTCTCACTTCACAACACCAGAAACTTGGAAGCACATATCTGAGGAAACCAGGCTTCACTACACTGTTGCTTATGGAAATAATTCCTTTTAAGGAGATGAATAGTAATTTACATATTATTGGATTATCTAATCAACATAAAAATGACAACACAGTGAAGCTTAGGAGTTTGTCCTCTCCGTAGACTTTGTCAGAGACGCAATATTGAGCGTGATGGACTTGAACTGATAGGGTTGCTTCTCTGTTCCTTTGGCTTAGTCATGAACAAATAAAAACTAATTTTGGCCACTCAGCATTCTGTGAACCATACAATCCTCTGCACATGGTGCTTCTGCAAGAGTAAGCTTTAAAAACGAAACTCTTGTTCACTGTAGGCACTAGAGATGCAAATTTGGTGGGACAGAATCTGAAGGCTGTCTCCTCAACTACCCTTTCTACTACGTAATATTTCCTTTGCACTTTGAAGTGGTTGTATTTAAGCTCAGTTGTGTACAAACAAAATGATCTCTGAGGATGAAAGGCAATATGAAACTGAAGAAAGACTTTGCAACATAGTGCATGAAAGAGGAAGAGAAATAGAGGAGATGCACTGTTGTACACCATTAATCATTCCAGCTGGCTACATCTACATTAAAAATACATATGCATGTATTTACACAATACACAACCACGCCATGATGCAAATAGTACCCTACATGTTTGTTGTGTGCACTGAGTGTATGCAACTACATCAGAAGTAAATGAGAATGATGCTGAAACATGAGGTGTAAGCTAAAGGGAATGTTTGAATGGCTGGATGTTCAGAGATGTATGGAGCTGACATTTGCAAATCTAAGTTATATATTCTGTTTTCATTTCTTGACTCTGTCAGTAAAGCAATTCTTCCACCAGACAGGAAAAAGAAAGAAGAGACATAATCCTAAGAGGTAAATTGCACTTACTTTTCCTCAGTGTGTCTTAGTCTACCCTTTTAACCTTTATCTGCCTCCCTTTGTCTAAGCTTTACATATACAAAACTTGGAAACATAATAATATATTAGATGTACTTACTTCATTATGCAGAATTTTATTAAGAAAACTTTTATTCCTGCAAGTCCTTAAGTACTGCTTCCTATTCCACATCCAATAATACCAAATGAATGTTGCTGTAAACTGATCTTAATGCAGTATCTTTTTTTCCATTAAAATCAAAGGCAATTGGACACTTAATATTTCTCTTAATCCGGGCAGCAGTTTCCACTAAAATATTAAAAGTTTTTGGATCATTTGCTATTACTTCTTTTTCTTTTTCCCTCAAATTCTTCAGTTTCCCAACTTTAAAAACCAGGAAAATAATGCTCTAGTAGGTATTGTGAGGATAAGTAAGTCTGAATTTGTGAGATGTTTAGGTCCTGCAGTTGTCCAGCTTATAGGATATAGGTCAGACAGGCAGTGGTAATTACTGAAAAAATGAAATGAATAGTTTAGTTGGTAGAGACCTTCAATGATCATCATCTAGTCTAACTGCTTGACCACTCTAGGGCTATATATATATTCCTTACTCAAGTTGAAACAAAAATGTTGTAAGTCCACAGACAATCAAAATCTAACACAATCATTCGATTTTTGATCTGTCTGAATGTAAAATAAAAGTGATCTAAATATCAGTAGGTTTTACTCTAAAACATACTAAAATACCTAAAAAGGATAAGAAAATCAGAAAAAAACTGCTGTCAATCTGTTGTCTGAGTTTCAGCTGGGATGGAATTGTTTTCTTCAGAGTGTTTAGTATGATGCAGTGTTTGGTTCTAGAGAGAAAAACAATGCTGATAAGACACTGATGTTCATAGCTGCTGCTAAGCAGTGTTGTATGCAGCCAAGACTATTCTCAGCAAAAGGCCTAAGGAGCTGAGTGGGAATAGAATTAAGACAACTGACTTAAACTGGCCAAAGGGATATTCCATGCCATCTGACATCATGCAGAAGGAATTTTTAAAGGGGTGGGAGTTCATCTTCTATAGCTTAGGGGACTAGCTGGGCATCAGTTGTGGGGTGGTGAGCAATTGCTTGTGCATCACTTCTGAGATATGTTAATACACACACACACACATATATATATACATATATATGTATATATATAGTCATAACTATTATCCTTTCCCCTACATTAGTAAATGGTTTTATCTCAACCCACAAATTCCATTTTTTTTTCTCCGATTCACTCCTCCATCCCACTGGGAAGGGAGGGAAGTGAATGAATGACTACATGGTGCTTAGCCACCTGCCACTTTAAACCACAACATCTGTATACCAAGTTCATGAAAGGTCATAATTTACAAAAAATGCTGTATTTATTTAGGCTGTTCCATTTGTTTTGTGATTTTCAATCAAATTCAATTCTTATTTATTCCTCTTTCTGACCCTCCTTTGACAGAGCCTGATGAATATATATGTTTGCAATTTCCCTTGAAATCTGCACAGAAAATAGGAGTCAACCCTAAATTCAAATAAATCACTGCAAAGACTCACTGGCTGACAGGTATGTCTTGCCTGAATGTGCCTGGTTGTGTGCATATGTGTCTGCTCATTCATGTGGCTGACAAGGTATCATCTTAACAGCCTTTAAACTGTGACCCAGATGTGGACCTTCCGTAGAAGCATTTAATTTCATGAATTTCTCTTTAAGGTGAAAGGGGCAGATCTAAAAAAAAAAAAGAGGAAAAAAAAGTGGATTATGTCAGCAGTGGAATATATATCCCATATTCTCTAAGCTTTGTTGTAAGATTTTGACTGTTCGATATAAGTTGGATGAATCCTACAAAGAAAGTTGTCATTGGGATATACTTATTTGTTAAACCAATTTTCCTTCATCATTTCTACTTTTCAGCCATCTGGTCTCTAGAAGGAGATTAATTATTTGATTCAGTTGTGTCAAAACAGCTGAAATGAATTAAACTTATGAGAAAGAATAGAAGAAATACAAGCATCAAATTTTTTTCTTCCTGTGTGTCATGTGGCTTCTTTCTTTCTTACCATCAACTGCAAGCTACTTCATTGAACGTATTCATTCATGGCCCTGAGTCAAGCAGGTGAGTTACAACCTCTACTTAAGATATCCAGCCTTTAAATTCTTTTAAGTGGGACTGGGAGAAGGACAAGTACGACCTGTATGCCTGGTAATCTCTAACACAGTTTCATGGTCTTTTGGCAGCTGAGCAATACTAAAGAAAATTCTTATTTCATTTGCCCTACGGGTAAGTTAATAGTTAGGCACCTACAAGCAAGGTATTTGCTTGCTAGTTGTACTGAAACAGAGTATTTTCACTTGGTCTTATGAGAATTTTCACTCGTATGAGAATACGAATCTAGATATGCACCAATTATGTCACCTAGTGAGTGAGCTGACTAGAGTAGGCATAGAGAAGGTATTAATCATTCCTGCTAATTATCATGAGGTAACGCTTGCCTTTCTTTATATAGCTCTTCAGAGTGGGAGGAGGTAACTGCTTCTGTGGGATAGCTTGTGAACTGGATTGACGATACTGGGCTGAGGGAGTGGTTGAGTCTCTGGAAATGTGTGGTGGTAAATACTTCTGTGAGCACAGTAGTATTATGCCTGAAAAATGCTGACTCTGATAGGTGATTTATGTGAAGATCTCCATGAGCGTCACTAAAATGATGGTGGCTGAAAAAGACATAGTGAGAAGGACAGGTAGGATACAGATGTCACCAGGCCCCCCCTTCCTGAAGTGCTAATCACTGAATTGACTTTTGAGACTGGAAATACACCGAAAATGTTGAGGCTGAGGAGTGCAGGGTATTCAGGAGTGATAGCTGACTGTGATACTGTGATGTGGTGTTAAGAGGGAAGTACTGTTGACGGCACTGGGAGATCCTGGCATAACCAGTGGGGAAAGAAAGCTCACAATTCCTGTGCAGATGAGATTACAAGAATATGTTACCTGCTGTTGTTACATCATACTATACACTTATCATGGCTGCTGCTGTTCTCTACAGTAGAATAACAATAATGATAAAATTATCTCTGACAGACAAAATGAGAGAAAGTTGCACAGCCCCTGTATTCATGCTGAAATGGTCAATGCTGACTAAGGGGAAGACGGGAAGAAAAATGGGCTAAATCTTCTGCTGCTATTAGTAAAGAAGGTTCAGAAGCCTGGAGGGAAGAGAGATGACCAGTCTAGAGCCAGTTTATCTGAAATCATTCTCACAGTGCCCAAGTATTCACAGTAATGTGTCCTAAAAAGTAAGCAGCTTAAGTTATCTACATTGCACTGCATTGTTTGTGACTAACAACTATTAGTAGATGTTAATAGGTTACTAGGTAAATTAGTAGGTTAGTTCATCGAGTAGTAGGTAAAGCACCATTAGTAGATATTAATAGTAGAGGCTAATTATAAAAAAATGTATTTTTAATTCATTAATGTGACAGATATGGTTATGTCTATTTCTTGAAAAGACGGCAAATTTTAATGCTGAATAGCCACAAAGAAATGCTCTTAAACTAGCAGAGGAACAGAATTGTATTTGCAAATAATGATACAGTGCCTATTTTCAGATAATGTCTGGGTTCACAGAAAGATGGAGTTTACTTGGACACTACTTCTGAACACAGAAACCACTTATGTTCTATCATTAAGTCATTCATAACATTGGTACAGCCCTGGTGTGATGGAAGTGGTGGTTGCTTTGCCAAGTCATAGTGCTCTCCTTACAGCTGGTGAATTTCTATGTGTATTGTGGCATGTTTTGAGGATTTAACCCTCTCCATGCAGCAGCTAGTAATATGATTTGCTGCTGATGGAATAATGGGTGAATGAGTGAGGAAGAAAGCTAAAAGGCCACCTGGGCTTGTCAAACTCGTGACAGCTAGTGTTCTTTCTTTCTGTATAGCCATGCTTTATTCTTTCAGAAAATATGAACACTTCGAAAAGTTTATTTGGTTAATCATTTCTTCTATGTTGTCTTCAAACTGAAAGTTTCAGAGCCAAGTAGAAAAAAAAACTATGTTAGCTAAAGAGGTTGAAACATCTCAAAATATGTGAAGGAGCTAGGAATGTAGGTATTGAGACCTTTCTGTGGGAATCATAGTCCTGTTTTACAGTTGTATGGCTTCCTTATGATCTTGCTATCTAACATTTTGCCTAGTTTCTTTTGTTGATGTTGTTTGGCATAAGATACCTATGTTTCCTTTGAAAAAAAATGTAGAAAAGGCTTGCCTATGTTCTTCCTGTAGATTCTGTGCAGCATTTAAAATGCTCTTCTCTTTTATTTCCTGACTTTGATTGGAGTTTTTACCACCCTGCCTCACGCACCATTGCCATTACACTTCATCATTACATTTTCTCTATGCTCTTATCACTGTATTCTATAGAAAATTGCCAGTAAAAAAAGTATGATAAGAAGAAATTGATTTGAAAAATGGAAGAGAAAGCAAATAGTATTTATGAAATGGTGGGAGTATATCAGGTAGATCTAATAATACAAAACTTTCATGAGGATCACTTTCTGAACATTCAAACCAACGTCCTGCTGGATGGAGGTCACTGAAGTAGTTGTGACTGTCACATTTCACAATGTGTTATAATGAAACTGAATCCCTCTGTTGTGCTTGAACTATGAAACAATGTGGTTATTACACAAGCATTGCTGATGCTAATTTTTGGTTACCAGATTTTTCCTTACTGGAATTTTTCAATAGCTATTATCTTTTGACATATTTATTTATTTGCTGTATTTAGTAACAACTGTTATACTCCAAACCATTCAAATCACTTCGCAAAGTTTATTAGTAGTCAGTGGAAACCATCAAGTAAATTTTTTGTTCTTGTTCATATGATGTTACTATGACACTGCAATCTAACGATGAGCTTCACCCCAATTAAGAATCTTGTTATTTTGTTCTTTATCCGTAACAACAAAAGATATGGACATTAATATCCCTCCTGATCTGAATACATAAATAATTCTTAATGTTAGACTCTGAAATCCTGGCTAGAGCAGGAAAACAAGTTAAATGTCCAAAGTCAGACTCCAGAGTTTTTGGAAGACAGTGGGAAAATTTACAGAGATGTCAGATCAACCTCAAAGTCCTGTCAGAGAAGAGTGGTAGATAGTAACTCCTGATACGGCTGATGTCTGTGTGTGCCACAAATCAGAAAATGTTAGGGAACTCGCACAAATGTGCAGAAATCCATTAAGCTCTTTTTCTCTCAGCTCAGAAACACATTCATCTTCCATCCATTCTCTTTCTCATTATGATTCTGAAATTACAAGCACTGCAAAAAGCAAAATATGTCATGTCCTTTTCTAGTCAGTCCATCATAAAAGGGTAGTATTTCAGAAACATTTTTTGCTCTGTAGTACATTAAAAAATTACCTGAGAATCCAGTTTAATTCTTAATTCTTTTCAACTTCTTATACTCTGGTAAATGTTCATGAGAAAAATCACTAATCCAGAAAACAAATTCATGGGCAGAGTCTTAACGAGGAAAGGGTACAGAATTAGTGAGCATCCTAACAATACTTCTGCAAAAAGGCTTTCTTTTATGATCTGTTAACGTTAATCTGAGCGGTTCAGAAAGATTCCTGTTCAGTCTGTTGTTAGAGAAGTTACTTGTATGATTATTTACTATCTATTTTTAAGCAAAGTGAAAACATAAAAAGATGGTAGCAGTCACTTCTAGAGACTTGTGTCCTAGTCCTATTATCTGAAATGCATTCCAGGGCCTTACACTTTGTCACGACATAGCTACCTTCTATCCTTGCAGAACAAGAAGGTGTGCCGTAATTCTATATGGCTTTCCTCTGATATTACTCTTTCAGTGGGGATAAAAGACGAGAGGAATTGCTAAAACAACATCATCAGATTTAAACTCTAATCTAGAAGAGTTCTGTGTCTGGAATGAAAGACAGATAAGAAAGCAGCAAATGACTTACGTGGCTGTGAAGAAGTCTGAAGTCTTTACATCATCAAATAGTGTTAACAGACATTTCTTTATCTGCTCTACCATGCAATTTTGCTTCCCTTAGAGTCATCACGTTTTTCCAGTGTTGTATTAACGTAAGTCATGCCAAGCAAGTCCATACATGTTTGAATGCTTTCTATAATTTGTTATTGGCCAGTATTTTTTATTCATTGTAATGAAGTAATTTCCCTAAGTTCTGTATATTTCTGTTGTGGAATATGAAAGAATCATCTACTTTTTGATAAATAAATTGTCCTAGCACAAAGGTTAAGTGAATTGCTTGACAGAGAAGACTAGTCTTAAAAACAAATGCCAGCTGCCAAAATGAAGGCTCTAGAAACCTTTTAAAGTATTTCAGACATGGCTACTATCTTAGTAATTCACTCAATGAGGCCCCCTGTGGGAACATTAACCCTATCTATCTCATATCTATTTTGGGGATAAAACCATGCAAAAGGACAAATATTCAGAATATTACTATCACTAACTTAGTGTAATCTGCAGAAATAGGGATGTTCTGCAGCCTTGTGGGGACCTGACTGCAGTATAATTGAAATCAGATTATTCTTCAAGAGAACATTACTGCCTGTTTGATGATATTAATTACATGAACACCTCTGGTGCAAGGGGTAATTCTGAGTTCTTTCAGTACATTTGACACCAATTCCATGCAATCCAGAGAGTCTAATTATGATGGTGGAACAAAGGTAGACACTTCTCTGGGACCAGAAATGCTCTCTGAAGTCCAGAGTGGCTTGCACACAGGTTCAGATCTCAAGTTGGCTTAGTCTAGTTGGGATGAGGAAACAGCAAGCTCATAAAGCAAGCCCTGAATGCTGGCTTGCGTGGGGCTCGTTGGCATCTGTGTGGAGGTTCTGCCCACAGGGAATTTTGGAGTCACAGAGTCCCAAAGAATATTCTGAAACCAGCGTGGCATTGCAGAAGTCAGTAACGTCTCTAATTCTGATGAGATTTGTGA